TGTTCTTAATACTATTATTTTACAATGTGTTCAGTTGCAGCTCTCGTCACTGGTGCTCTATGAATCCTGGGATAGGTTGGCCCAAGAAGGATTCACCCGTTAGATCTTTTGTCTTATATTTCTTGCAACTCAACCTGTTCAGTAGCAAAACATTACGTGTTTAATTCCAGCTTCTAATGTCGGAGTAAATGACTTATTTAAATGTTTTACAGCCAACATTTAAAAACAGCATTGACCAGTATTGTGCACAGTTCTCTCATCACATCATCACCACTTTGCACTGCAGTAAAATGAATTAATCCTGTTGCATCATTTGCTAAAACGCAGTATTTGAACACACACACATTCACAAGACATCCTTCAGTTTACAAAAGCTTTCATTTATTCAATTAGACTTCAAGTCCCATCAGCAAAACTGCTCCAATCACTTTACATACGAGGAAACAAAACCTTCAGATTGAAACTCTTTTCCTTGTGACTGTCAGAGATGCTCAGTCTCAGTTTCCTCTGGTTTAACTGAAGCTGAGTAACGGTCCAGAAATCGAATCAACTCAAACACCCCACACATCCCAGGCTGAGCCCACACGTCCTGTGAAAAAGAACTCAGTAGCAGCTAAACACTGCCCCCCACTGTCTGACATTCAATATGCTGGAGGAGTGACAGCATTTGCTTTAATGTCTTTTGACCTAAGCAAATAAAACAATTAAACAATTAAATTTTAAATTAATAACTGTTAGCAGCTTTGTGTGATTTGGCATCAAAAACATCTGCGTGTACAACTGTATATTTTTAAGTTACAGCAGTTTTTCTTGTCATTTCCTGACGGATTAAAAAAGCATTTGAAATCTTCATGAACCTAAACAGATTCTGCAGGTGTAGGTTATTGCACATCTCATTTTTGTTGCAGCTTTAATCAAACAGCTTTTGTCTTATAATTTCATGATCTCTTCTTATTTTTCCACATGTCCAACACATTTTACCAACGAAGTCCTGCAGTGTTACACCCTTCACTTTTAATTTGGTTCCGTCTCGTGGCGTGCGAGTGCGGTGGGTAACGTGGTCCCACAGGGGCCGTGGAAGTGGAACCTGAAACACAAAACATGGAGAGAAATGTTTGTCTCTGTGACATGAGCATGTTGAGATGTTACATGTATTTGAAAGCAAAAAGAAACGCACTTGAAGCGCATGGTGGCCGGTGTGTCCTCCATGTTAAATTCGGCCACAGGGACGCCGCGGGCTGCCACCTGAGGAGCAAACATGGCCGCTGGATACACGACTGATGAAGTACCAACCTGCAGAGGAAAACAAATGTTAAATTAAATGTAAACTGAGAAGTGAGACCACACAAATAACCTTTATTACTTTATTTCCAGAGATGAAGTATTCACTTAAGGGTGATGATGCCATAACTTTTCTAAAATACTATATTTAACAGAAAGAAAAATATCCGATCCAGAATTATAAACATCTACAACCCATGACGAACTGTATCAGGACAGCCTAAAGGAAAGTATGAAAGATATTTTCCTTCCTGCACTCGGATTTGTCAGAGTTGTAACAAGTGGCGATTTGTTACGTCAGCTTCCTCCATCTGCTCCCTGCTTCTGACACTGACATGGATTTTCATTCTGTTTGAGAGAGTCAAACATTTATAATACAACTGAAAACTATCAAACAACTATGAGTGCGGTGAAGTCCCTTTTTCCACTGTTTCAAAAAACCACTAACATCTGTCTTTAATGTGCAGTGGGATGGATGAAATCATTCTTCACTTCCAGGTAAAATGACTCTGCAGTGGACACAGGTTTTTATCAGCTTCGATCAGCAGTGATGGAAACATGACATCCGGCTGTAAGCACTGATTTCTTCTTGGCAGTCTAGACGTTGACGGTGAATCTTTTCTACGAAACGTTATGACGCACATTGAACTTCCAATCAATGCTGGGTAAATCGAAATGAATGTTTGTGGACATATTGTTTACATCTTGGAAACAACGTGCAACTGTTTTTTTTTTTTCTTTGTATCGTGAAAGATGCAACGCTGACAAGACAGTGAGGCGAGAGTCTTACACACTCACCACGAGGCACAGGTCACAGCTGTCCAGCACCTTCTCTGCACCGGTGAGGATGTCAGAGTCCAGCGTTTCACCAAACCAAACCACAGCTGGTCTCAGGAGACCGTGACAACCTGTCTGCTCACACCTGAAACACACAAACGAACACAGACACACACACACAAACACACACCATCAAACTAGATGACCTCATTTGATAAGAAGCACTACATCAGAACACGGGTGTATTTGTACCTGGGCAGCTGCTGAACAGGGATCTGGGCGTCGTGTGTTTCTGGGTCTGGAGCTCTGAACAGGAAGTTTGATCAACAGGTTAATTAAATTACACCTAAATTCACAATTTCACTCACTTATGTCACTTAACACAGATGTTCCTGATTTCTGATATGAATGTTTCCTAAACTAAATAAGTGCACATGCACATTTCAGATATATTTATGTACTATATGTATTTTTATGTAAGATTTGATTATTTATCTGGTTTTTAATACAAAAAGTAATTAAACATTAAAAAACTCTAAAAATATCACAAAGTTAGAAGGACATTATAAAAACTAAGAAAGTGAGTCCTCACAGCTCTATTCCTTCGAGCGTTTTAATGTAACACAGTGAGTTTACAGCACTGTATAAATTGACGGCACAGTCTGTGTCAATAATTTAAAAAAGACACGATAATGTCTGATGTTCATTTCAAAATCCAGCAGATGACTTCATTTATTCTTGCAACTGGGATGTAATTCACCAGTGGGACATTTGTCACAAGCATCAATTTGAAATGTCAGATAAGTGACGGAGCGGCTTTGAAACTGACATTTCATTAGTCACAGATTTTCTCAATTGTTATTCAGCTCTCTGACACCTGACAGACACCATCCGCCTGTTTTCTCTGGCATTTTCAGATCAGATGAATGTGATCAGTATCTCTCACAACACATTTTCATACTGTGGAGGAAAACTGGGGAATTCACCGAACGACACCAGACTAAGCTCTTACCCTTTACCAGCCAGCGCCTCACAGATGGGGCTCTTGTAATTAGCTGCTTCATGACCACAGCTCATACAGCGGGTTCTGAACAGACTACCTGGTTTTACAAACACGACACAAGGGACAGATAAGTGCTGGAATATCGACTTGTTTCACTGAAGATAGAAAATTAACCTCAAAATTCAGAAGCTGAATTTATTGATTCTTATTTCAGCACAAGAAAAGTTATGAATGCATAACTGAAATGTTCTTTTCTTCTCACCGTGGAGTTCCAGGATGTTCTTGGATCCAGCGCGGCGATGGAGCTGGTCAATGTTCTGAGTGATGACAGTTACTTCTCGTCCTTGCTTTGCCAGTCGGTCCTCACACTCTGCGATGGCCAGGTGAGCGGGGTTGGGATTCTTTGTGAGCATGACTTCGCGGCGGTAGTGATAAAACTCCCAAACACGTGAGGGATTCCGAGAGAAGGCCTCCGGAGTGGCGAGGTCCTGGCACAGAGGAAAGGAGCAGGACGGTCATTCATGCAGACTGAATAGTTTCATTAAAATTACTCACACATGGACAAGGCAACAGAAAATATCTCAAGAAATAAACCATCTCTTGCTGTGAAAAAAATTTAACAGCCATTATGAGTTTGGATAATGCATAGTGGCAAAGATTCAAATAAATGCACCTACACATTGCAGCACACAATAAATTATACTTAAAAACTTGTTTTGACCGGGTCAAAGGTGAAGTGCGTGCCAACCTGTGCTTGCCATTTCCTCCAGTAGCCTCCTGCTCCTCTGAAGGTGGGGACTCCACTCTCAGCACTCACCCCTGCTCCGGTCAGGATGGCGACTTTCTTGGCTTTGGAGAAAATCTCCCTGAACGCAGCCAGGTCTGACCATTAAAACCAGAAACAGGAAACATGTAAAATGACAGTTATGATGATGCTCTTATTAACCCCTTTTCAGAGAGAGGAAGTGGATGCATGTTTACCTGAACTGGGTCTGGCCATGTCTTGGCTGGCCAAGGGTTTTCTCAGACGGACATTCAGGTGAGAGGTGATTATGGCTCTACCGGGGAACTGTCGCAGAATCATCAAGTTGTGGCAACTGGAGAAGACAAATTAAACACTTGGACACAGAAGCTGAAGATATTTTTCTTCAAAGACAAAAGTTGACAGTTTTACGGTTTAGGAAGATGAATAATTTGTACACATTGATCATTGCAGGTAAATTGTTCAAAGCATCAAGAAGAATATGCCACAGTTCTTATGTGGATATAGCAAAAAAAAACCTCCTTTATTTAAGTGGCATGATTCAGTCCAGATTATACGTAAGGTACCAAGGAAGCTGCAGCAACAAAACAATGTGGATGATATAAAAAGATAATTAGATAATATCTAGTCGATTCACTAATACCTGCAAACTGCTGGTATCAATAAAAAAGACGTGAAATAAAAACCATTAGATGAATTAAATAATAATGAAGACCAACAGTTAATCAATAGAAATAATTTAACTTTTTTTTTTTTTAAAGACCTGCAAACCAGGTGCACTTTATTTAGTTGGTGTTGGAGCCACTGCAGAAGAATGTAGGACTGAAGACACACTTTCACGATGGTAGAAGAATGTAAACCTCCTGGTGTCAACTTTATTAGGACCAAGGAACAAACAGGAAACTTGGAACATGTGATGAAAGTGTTTGGTTGTGCAGCAGAATCAATGATTCCAGCTTTGAGGAGGCAGCAGTGAGTCTGCTCATGACCCACAACTCTCAGGTATTTTATCTTTAACAGCTTCGTTCTGACAAAGACGAGATCAGGAGAGAGTCAGAAAACGGTTTTAATCTCATAAAAGGTCAACGTAGCTTTATTACACTCAGAGGTCACGTCAGTTAGCATAAAGCTAACCTGCCATTCAACTGTACCTGCTAATCACAACAATTCAACTGTGATCAATTCAGTTATTCGCTCGTGTCACGATGGTTTTTGTTTCCTGACGCAAACATGTGAAGTAAGAACCTTCCTCTGTTGTTGTTGTTATGCTAGTATTAAGCTAACATGTGAAGTACGAGCCTTTCTCTGAAGAAGTAAACACACCCTGTATTTGTTATGCTAGCATTGAGCTAACGAGCTAACTGGCTCTGGTATCCAGAGGAAGCAGCGACCGAAAGCGGCTCCAGCAGCTTCTCGTCGCGGTGACAGCCCGGGTCGCCACTGGTTGTTCAAACTCCCAGTAAATAGCCGGGTCCTGCTGTTTGAAATGCGAGTGTTGACTTCTAAACTACCTGTTATTAGACGGAGCCCAGCTGGAACCACAGGACGTGGAGGAACCAGGAAGTTCAGTCTCAGGGTTGGGCTCGTCTCATTGGTGGATTGGTTTGGCTCGTGGGGGGGGGCTATGAACCAATCAGGAAGAAGCAACGAGGTAAATAAACTCAGTCCATGAAACAACGTGAGACCAGCAGAGAGAGCTCTAACTCCACACACAGAAATATAGATTTCATTTGTTCGAAAGAATAAAATACAACACATGCTTAAAAAAAAAAAACTAAATATACAAATCCCATTTTATGTTGATGCGATTTTTCTGTAGAAACAAAAGAAAGAAGAGTGTGGCTTGTGGAAAGGTCAGCACTTACATTAGTTATTCATTAATTATACAGATAAATACATATTTAATTGGATCCTCTTTAGTGAAATGATGAGTCACTGAACCTGCCCAAACTTTTCTATGAGTCAAGTACAATTTAAATTGCATTTTAAGATCATTAAGTAAAACATAACTTAACATGTCAGTGTATGTTTTCTGCACTAACAATAAGAACATGTAGTTAGAGGTTATACTCACATTAAATATTGCATTCAGAGGGATTTAATGGAGGTGGGAGAAACCTGCACAAGTACGGGGCAAAGTTTCCTGTAACTTCAAAGTATTTTATTAAACCTTTTTGATTTTCAGTATAAATATAACAGAAGTGATTTGTGGGCCTGCAGCTGTGGGAACTAGAACCTGGCTTCATAAAAAGTCAAGTCTGTGCTTCAAGGTCCCGTCTCACAGTGATGAACTTCAAACATTCTGGTGAACGTGTAAAGCTAAGCAGCATCTAATGAGTATTCTCTTTATTCTGATGATTGTTACCTCGGCCATCATTTAGTCTACAACATATCAGAATATTAAAGAGACACCTTCATCATTTACCCAACAGTTTACAAGTGTAAAGTTTTATAATTATAAAAGTCGAAAAATAAATATATAAATATGCCTGAGGCAACAGTCATTGATTTTTATTTTTAATTGGCTCATTCATCAAAATCAATCTTAACCAACTTTCTCTATATTGCAACTCTACAAATCTGGGTTAGGGTTGTGTTGGTTAGGGTGAAATTCAGATTATGTTAAGTAGTATGAAACAAATAAAGCAGAAAACCATACATTTGAGAAGCAGGAAATTTAAATTTCCAAAATAGATTGTGATTCATGATTAAGTGTTTCTTAGTCGAACAAATAATCGAGTCATTGCAGCTTTTTATTTATAAAGATCATTTAAAGCTGTGAGTGATGTGACATTGGCTACAGCTCTGGAACTTGAGCAGGTGGAACCGATTTACAGGAAAAGACAGGAGCTCATCTCTCTGTCTCTCTCTCTTTCTCTCCCCCTCGCTCCCTCTCTGTCTCTCCCCCCCTATCTCTCTCTCTCTCTCCCCCTTCTATCTCTCTCTGTCTCTTTTCTTTCTCTCTCTCTCTTTCTCTCTGTGTGTGTCTCTGTCTCTCTCCCCCCCTTCTATCTCTCCCCCTCTCTGTCTCTTCCTCTCTCTCTCTCTCTCTCCCTCTCTCTCTCTCTCTCTCTCTCTCTCCCTCCCTCCTTCACCATCACAATAGCCCACCACCCCTCCCCCCTCCCACACCGTCTGCCCGGTGAGTGTGCACGAGCGGCTGCCGCGGCGCCGAGCCTCCCTCAGTCCCGCCGGTTCGGTCTCCCCTGTGGACGCTGCCCGGCTGGCGGATCATGGCGGCGGCCCCGGAGGAGGAGGTGGACCGCAGACCGATCCGGAGGGTCCGCTCCAAGAGCGACACGCCTTACATCACCGAGGCTCGGATCTCTCTGCACCTGGAGACAGGTAGGGCTCACACGGGTGCTCCTCGCCTCATGTCTGGGTGCAGCATTGTTGGAGTCTCGGTTCTCTCTCCATCGTGTGCTGACAGTTCCCCCGCAGCAGCAGCAGCAGCAGCAGCATGACTGGGCTTTCATTGTGCAGCTGTCGGTGCCCACGGTGCTCAGCTGCAGCCCGGTGCACGGTAACCACACAGCTCGGCTTTTATCCTCACTCCCCGCGTTATCTGCACGGTGTGCGGGACTCGGATGGGTTTTGCGGGAGACTGCATGTGAGCCGATCGATTCCTGCTCCTCCAGCCTGACTCCGCCTCGATGGTCGGCCGCTGTGAGATGTTGTGTGAACTTGGGCCTCCTCAGGCTCCTCATTTAAAATGCTGCCGTTATTATCACTGCGTTAGAGGAGGCTGGGGGGATGTTGGGGATGGGGGTGAGGTTTTGGGGAGGGGGGCTGTTGCGGGGAGATAAGTTATTGCATCCTTTGTTGCCATGGTCACGAAGCCTGGATCACTGCATCATCATCATCATCATCAGCATCTGGATACGGGTTTACAGCCAGATGTGTGCTCCCCATCATCATCCTTTTACACACGCTTTCTCTCTCTCTCTCTCTCTCTCTCTCTCTCACAAACACACACACAGCTGTGTCTCCATGACTTCAGAGGACATTATGTTGATTTCCAGGAAACTTACTTAACTTTAACCATTGTAAGTACTTGCCTAATGCTCCTGACCCTAACTTCAACCTAAACTCAACCTTAACCCTGTACGTAAACTAGCGATTGACATAATGGGGACTTGATATTTGTCCCCACATCATTAGTAATACCTGGACCACACACACATGCACACACACATTTGTGCTGCTATCCCTATAAACACTTTGCATTGACTTCCATTCATTGTGAACAGATTAACTAAATCCTGATCTCTATCCTTAACCATAATTAATTCATAACCTTAACTTAACCACAGTTTACATCTTAACTAACCTCAACCAGGAGCTCAGAAGTGATGTTCAGCCTCATCAGGACTGGGCTCTGGTCCCCAGGAGGTTTACTGGTCCCTACAAGGTCAGTGTTTAAGGTAGAAAATGTCCTGAAGAAGTGACAACAACAAGTAAACACACACACGTCACAGTTTTTAACGCTACAGGAGCTGTCCACTGCCCCTTGGTGCTGAAAATGCCACCGAGCAGCATCAGGCGAACTCAGCCCGCAGGATTTAGTTGGCATTTCTTCACTGAACCCTTTCTAGTATTTTATTTCCCAATTTAGAAACTGAGATTTGAAAAGCTGGTGTTCGACGCTCCCACCGAATGTGACAAATCCCAGTCACATGGTTTGTTCACCCTGGTGGTCCAGACTCCACTCAGGCCTGTGTTTTCCATGTCGAACAGAACTCTGTCTGACTGTAGTTCTGCTTCAGCTTTAATTTGTTCTTTTTCCCACCACTCTTCCATATTAGCCCTCATCACATCGTTAATGACATTAAATTAAGTCTTAATGTACATTAACTACCATGTGTTATTGTGAAGCCATCCTTATTTTTTGCTTGAAACAAAACTAAGAGATGTATGGGGTAAAACCATCCACACATAATCTTAATGAGATCAGGAGTTACTCACATGCTTGCTCCCCCGTTTAGCCTTGTTAGACCTTTATGACTCACGGTGTTCAGACCCACCTACTCTTAATCTCCCTCAGCTGCCCTCTCTGTGGCCCTCAACAACCTTCCTCTCCATTTTGTTTTCTATTGAAACACAGAACCTCCCTCCTCCTCCTCAGCTAATCTGGTTGCACAGTTTCTTTCTCTGAGCTTTGAGGCAGGCTTTATATCATCAGGCTTGAGCTTGAATCTGGAGGAGGGGGTGGTAGAGAGGCTGCTGTGTTACTTGCTAACTGTGCCGCTCCTGGCTATTAGCTGGAAAGCGAGCGGGCAGGCTGCAGCTGCGGGAGGCTGGCGTGGCATCACAGAGAATCCGACGTGCACTGCCAGCTCAATGAGGAGAGGGCTGATTCTCACCTTTCCCTCGGAGCATGAAGCGTTGCTGTTTAATTTCCTCCTTCTCATCATTGCTTTGCTATGATCAAATCTTTTCACGGAAATCATCTCCCCTCCCACTCCCTCAAGTCCCATTGACTCCATAGCTGCTGATGTTGCTTTGCATAAATCCAGCCCACTCTGGTCTTTAGTGTGTCACTATTCATATGTGACAGATATCCACGTTATCTTCAGTGTGCATGTGTGTGTGTGTGTGTGTTAGTATGCATGCTTGCCCGGTGCATATGTGTGTGGGAGGCTGGTGTACTATTTGCTCTAGTAAACATGAGTTTATCACCAAAGCTTCCGCCAGACGTCTTGGTGTTGCTCTGTGGAGCGCAGCCCTCACCAGGGAGCTACGTTCAGTCCTGAGCCAGATTATTTCACATCAGTGTTGTTATGTCCACTAATACAATAAGTTCAAAACCTCTACTCTACAACTCAATGTTTATTTGAACTGAAGACGGTTTAGAGCAAATGAGCAAGAATTTTAAACCAAACATGCACAAATTCTGAAGTTTGCTGATTATATCATGTACATAAACTGCTAAAAGATGTATTTATTACCTTTCTGAACCCAGTTTGTGTTTTAGATATTATTATACTTTCATTTCTAGCAGAAACTGAGCCACACAATTATTCATTGTTACTTCTCTGATCAATCAAACTCTTTATTAATAATAAGAACTTTATTTGTATAGCACTATTCAATAGTAACAATAATAGTAACAAAGTGTGTTACAACAAACAATATGAAATCCACAAACAACCAGAGTAAAGAAATAATAATATAATCTCTTCTGGCAGATCGTTCCAAAGTGTGGGTGCCCTCATGTCTCCTTAAGTTTTCAGCCTTGATTTTGGATTGACTAGCATCGCTTCACCAGAGGATCTCAGGCTGCGTCCTGGCTCGAGAGAGCTACTGCTGCTAACTGATCTTACATCTTCATTAGCTACTCGCTAACAGTACAGCCAGCTCATCTGAGCTTTTTAAAGTCCATAGACTGTAAATAAAGATCAACAACTCCTGTCATCCAAAATGAAGAACTACCAAAAATGAAAGCGTCATTAA